AATTATGGTATGATTGCATTGTTTTTGTCCAAAACGTGTTATCCCTTCACGTTAATTTTCTTCTCTTACTCAGATAATCACTTTACTAAAACACCAATGTCATGTTTCAGGTGTACGAGAATCCAATTTGTTCTAAAACCGAGCCGTAAGTATCGTTATTAATTATTTTTATTATAATAAACCAACAATCTTACTTTATTATCAATTTACTCAGTTATCTTTATTAATATTTTCAATTTTTGTCAAAAGTGTATCATTTTACTCAAATTTAAAAAATGATTGGTATAATATAAATTAACTAAAACTTATTATTTGAATTATTTTAATTGCAACAATTGATTAAACTAGTTGCGTTTAATTAAATGTTGATATAAAATTATTTTTTTGCAATTCGATTAATAAAACATTTACTGACACTCATCCAAAACTATTGAATATCATTGTTAAAATCTTATTATAAAACATAGAAAATACCACATTATATGAAAGCGTCATTATATAAATTAAAAATCTTTTATTGCTTAGTTAGTTTTCGAATTTATTCAAAATTAACAAATAAATTTGGTGGAAAATTAATAAAAAAAAATTTAAACTGATTACATTGATTTATGCTAATCTATGCGGTGAGCATATTACAGAGAAATACTTGAAATTAATAGTTGACTGAAAGCATAAGGACTTTCCATGTACAAATAATTGATTGTAGCTCCATTATTAATCCGTATGCTTTTGAATAAATTTGTCATCCTATAAATTTTTTCGACATATTGTTTCCAGTATTTCTAACATAAAAAATATATTTAGTACATTTAATTGATTTATTTGTCGTCCAAAGTGTTCATTTTAATGGTCCTTAACATAACTTTTTGTCTTTTTTTTTTTTTACAAGAATCTATTGCTACAATAATTACTTCTGTGCGTTTTACTGCCATTTAAGTCACTTATTGTTCTGTATCTTAATACTTAACAATTAAAATAAACTTTGTTTTCATTATCTGTTTGAATTCAGACACTTTGAGTGTTGGACTTGTTAATAGCTAATTACTGTATAGCATTTTACAAATTGAATATTTGTTGTTACTCGTTAATTAGAAATCCATTACCAGCACTCAAGAATGAACTTAAATTAGACGAGAACAACAGAAGTTGAGAAAATGAACTTACGAGTAAATTTTAACTTTAAAACAGATGAAAATTCGTCAAGTGAATATTAAATGAAAATCACAATATAATGTTGTTTTCAATTATATTTCAGAGAAAATTATACTTACTAGTGTCATGATCACGATTTCTTTTTCTTCGACAACTGAAGATGACACTTATGGATTTTTTTTTTGATTTCTCGTACAAAACCAATTTCATAACGTGTAAGGCACCACAGGTTGTAGTACCATTGACTTACTTAGTTTAGCGAGAAATTTGATTGAAAAGTTTAGTCGTCACGTAGTGAGAGACATCCACAAAGTTAGACGCTCTGTAATAAACTTATATCATCATTCACACATTGTCCTTGAACATTATGAGGAGTCATTGGCCAATGATATCGAGGTGACTAACCTTTTTCATTTTTTCGAATTGTTGGTGACCATATTTTCAAAGCTTACACTTGAAAACGATTATACTAATCATACAATATAAGCTTCATCGCAAACAACAAAGTATAACATAAGTGTACACTCGACAAGTCTCGTTCATTTTAATGTTGTCTTTAATATTACACTGTAAATTTAACTTATGGAAATTAATGTTTATGTCCTTAAAATTGTTTCACCCTATTTCTGAAATCGTTATACAAAGTTCGCATTAAACAGCACATATAAATTTAATAGTTATATAATGCACTAAGCATTATTTTCATTTTGTTTTTATATGGCACGAAGATTTTAGAAAATATTACATAAAATTCCTCTTCAAGTGTTGACTCATCGTGTGCAATGAGTTTTATGTTTTGCTGTACGTATTAACATTGGCCAATTGTTGTTTTTATGAAGCAGTTTTAAAATAACAAAATAGCTTTTATCACCTTTTTTGCTCGCGTAAATGAACTTTTTATGCGGTCTTGTTCTTGTTTTGTTCTTAACGGCAGCGAAAAATAACGATTTTGTCGATAGGTAATTGTTTTACGCGTTAGCACTTTAGGTGCCGTGAAATCAACCCATTAGACAATACAACCACTATGATTAGTGGAATTTTATTGACTTAATATCGTTAACTTCATTTATTCGGTAACGCAATTTATCAATGCAAAGTTACTATCCTATTTTCGTTGTCTATGTCTATTAAGTAAATTAAAATCTTACTGTTCCATTTAATCAATAGAATAAATGATATGCATGTTAAGCCTAAACTGTGGAAATGAGACTTCAAACATATTATTAGTTGGTCGTAAAATTCATCGTTAATTGGAACTAATTTTGATAAATCTTTGAGTGAATTTTGGCATTTATCAACATTGAATTTTTTATTTTTCCTGACAAACTATCTTCATACATAAAAGCTGAAGGTTGAAACACTACAAAGATACGAATACATCAAAGGATACCCATTAAATGTAAGTGGTAGTAGAATTTTGATATATTCATGTCATGACACAGTTTTGTTTCCGTTGCTTGAACATTATTACATTACTTGAGTTGCGTAGTCAAAGCTCATCTCAGTAAAAATCGTTTTAAGATACATCAAAGTATACATTTTAGCCACAACTTTAACATATAACATTTCCGTGAAGAATACATTTCATTTCTTTTTAAATCGATTTTAATGGTATTGGTAATACCGTAAAAGAATATACAGACCATTTCACCTAAATGTTAATGATATTATTGCATTAACATTTATTGGTAGAGTACGGTTTATTGTTTAATGAAATTGGTGTTTTTTGTTACATTACTAGTTTATGCAGTCCTTTATAATTTATTAGCGATGCATTTTGTTGGCTTCTATAAGTACTGTTAGCGTCTTAAAAAAAACGTTTACAAAAAGTTCTATAAACTGGTGTGCAATCTCATATAAGGGATATATTAGCAACAGCATTCGTTAATTTTCCTTTAAAGATTTAATGAGTCATTGCGGTAGTCAAATAATAAGATTAACGGTGGTAAGTATAGTATGCGTAATTATACAATTTTCTTATACTTTATCCTATTTATGGTGTTCGGTTTTAATCAGTTATACATTTTAGATAAATACACTTTTTCTATAACTTAAAATTTATTATGTTTGATTCCAATGATAGATTGAAATATTTTTAGATTAATGTTCAAATTTCATATTTTATAGTTAAAGTATACCTTTTGATTTAGAAAATAAATGTCAATCACTTCACTAATATTTACGTATAAATTATAATTTAAAATGTATTATTTTTGTCGTTTAATTAGTTGATATTCTACAACTTAACTCGTGAAAATTTATATTACAATTATTTCTACGGTAAATATCAAAGTTATTTATTAATAAACTAATTTTATTACGAAATATTTTATAATGAATTTAGTTATTTTAAACAAAACTAGTTACATTTTTCCCATGAGATCATTCAGTTATTTTGGTATAAAACCAGGTCTTTTATTTAAAAAGAATACATAAATTCTCGGAATAATAAAGGTGTAATTTAGTTGTACAAACTATATTGAATCAATTTGTAAAAGTGAAACATGGTTCATGTGAGTGCCTAAAATACACAATAATTTTACTTTTATGTGTACGGAGCGTAAATACATTTACAGGAATTTTCCAAATTACCTTTTTACTTGCTTGACTAAAAGCGCCTGTGACAGATTTTAAAAGCAATATTTTCTAGAAATGCAACAGACTTGATACTTCATGACATTATTTATTTAAGGGTTGTTGAAGACTTCTTGCGAATTAATGAAAATTTTATTTAGAATATTTTCAATTCGATTTTTTTAAATCGCAGAATTAAAGTTACAATAAAGCTTATTATTATAGTTTTTTAATTAGCCAATTTTTACTGAATAGACAACAGTTTTTTAAATGACTTAGTTCTTCGTTCTTTTTTTATTTCAGAGATTATTTATTAAATAAAATATCTCAAGAGATAAGAATAATCTAAACCTCAAAATAAAATGTTTAAACAAAAAGTCTATTTCCATTAAAAATAATTATATATTCGCCTCTAATTCACGACTAATAACCCTGTTTAAATAAATCTATTTAACAAATCAGCCAAGTATGATATACATTAGTTTTCACTATAATTATTTATTTTCAATATACATTCATAAAAAAACATTTAAAAACAAAAACTTCGTCCTGAAAATATTATAATGACACAATAAAAAATTTATAAAATTGTGATAAATTGCACTTTGCTGAAAAAAAAAATGATTTTATTTGAAATTTATTTAACTATTACCAAAATATTTTTTTTTGTTGGAAATATTTAATAATATAAAAATTGTATAATCTTCTTATAATATTATAAATATACATCAGTATATTACATAATGATTAAAATAAAATATTAGATATAAAATGAATCTATAAGATATAATAATATAAAATGGATACTTTTAGTTTCGATTAAAAATCATCGTTAGTTTACGATGTATTAATGAAATATAATAAAACTCACAAAAAGATACTTACATAGTTAAATAATTAAAAACAATGAAAAAATATATAAACAAATTTAAAATACAAAATATTTGGTAAACGTATAAGTAGGAAATATCTCGTTACAGCAGAGTTAGTTTAAAATTACTAAAATATTTATAATATTATTCATTAATTATTAAAAAATTGTTGAAAACTATATTTACAGAATAATAAACAGTTATTATAAACAAAGTAGCATATAGCCATAATATCCTCTCTAACTAACATTTAAAATTTACAAAGATAAACAGCTGGTTAAAAAATATTTCTTAAATACTTTTCTAACTATAATTGTTGTTTGTTGCTGTGACAATAATGTTTTAGTGTAATATTTTTTTTTTATCTATAGCTTTTTTTTTTTTTTTTTTTTTGATGTCTTGTGTAATATTACTATTAACCAAAAATGCGTTTTCTTTTAACTAAATGTTTACTTTTGAGAAATTGTAAAGTATTATGGAAAAGGTTTATGTCAGGCTCGTTGTCATGTAATCCGACTGGGATTACACCATCTCAAAAGGGGCTAGTTTTAGGATGTTTCGCTAATAAAAACGACAAAACTGGTGAATCGCTATCGTTCACTGATGCTGCAAAAACATTCAACAATCATGTCAATGGTAAGCTTCTGAAACAGTTGATGTCAGCGAAACCACCACCAGCTAGAGGTGAAGTCCGCACATTTTTCGGATTAGATGACACATATCCTTACGTATCTGTAGTTGGGTTGGACGACGGTTGTATTGGATACAATGATGTAGAAGGTATTGACGAAAAGAAAGAATGTATAAGAGATGCTGCCGCAATAGGTGTTAAATCGTTGTTGAAATTTGAATTGCAAAAAATCTATCTAGAAACTTTTAGTTGTGCGGAAAGTTCAGCAGAAGGTGCATCAATTGGTATGGATGCATATAACGATCATAAATCGAAAAACAACGTAAAAGATTTACCTAAAATTGATATGTATGAGAGTTGTAATTGGACTGGTTGGCAAATAGGCCTACAGAAGGGATCAGCACAAAATTTGACCAGAAGACTACAACTGACGCCTGCAAATATGCTAACACCCATAATGTTTGCACAAAATGCAGTAAAATTGCTGTCGAATTTAGGAGTAGATTTACAAGTACGAGGAAAAAGGTATATTAAAACGAGAAAAATGAACGCTCTCTTAGCTGTTTCTAAAGGCTCGTGTGAAGAACCACAATTTCTGGAGGCAACGTATGAAGGATGTGACTTAAATGCAGATCCAATTGTGTTAGTCGCCCCAGGCATTACTTACAACTCTGGTGGATTAGGCTCATTGAGATCGTGTGAAGAGCAAAAAATGGTTCGAGGAGAAATGTCCGGTGCTGCTTCTTTAATTGCCGTGCTCCGGGCTGTGAGTGCTATGAAAATGAGGTTAAATCTCAAAGTTTATATTCCACTCGCCGAAAATCTCATTGGTTCCGGAGCTTTGGAACCAGGCGCCGTTATAACTACTGAAAAAGAAAAAACTATTGTGGTTGACAGTACAGCTAAAGTAAATCAACTTGTAGTAGCCGATGTACTGACTAACATCGTATCCAACAAATGTTACACGCCAAAAATGCTTCTTGATTTAGGCCCATACTGCAGTCGCTCTGAATTATGGTCAACCCAAGCAGTAGGAGTATTCACAAGAAATAATTCACTAATGCAATCAATAAAAGTTGCATCCATGCACACTGGCGAACGAGTATGGAGATTGCCTTTATGGCGACAATCCACAGTACATACACGATCCTGCATGGAAGCTGATATTTCCAACTACACGCCAGTATTTGGTGGACCGGCAATGCAGGCCGCCGCTTTTCTTCAAGAATTTGTACCCGATCACATCCCATGGGTACATTTAGAAATAGGTGGACAACTAATAACTAACGGACTAGATGCTGCCTACTTAGCACCAGGTTTCTCTGGTCGTCCAACAAGAACTTTAATAGAACTTTTGGGACAGATAGCATGTGAAGATCCTTCTACTAAATCTCAATCTTGTAATTAGTTGTCCAATGTGTAAATTTATGTCAGTTTTTTTATACTATAGCTCTTATGATAATAACAAATTCAATGTACGTGATTATTTTGTTTCTTTAGAAGTATTTGCATTTTGTAAAAAATGAATAAGAAAAATGTTTATAAAAAAGTTAGAGGTTAAAGAATAGCTGTAAATAGATATTTTCAGATACCCCCTACCTCTATAATTTGAAAATTTAAATGAATATTGATTTTGAAATTATAGTAAGATTTAATTCTTAATAAATCATATCAGTTTTTGTAGTATTAATTTAAAAGAATCTTATATAGTAAAATAAATTTCTTTTTTGAATGAATTTTAATAATCAAAGTATATTGAGCTTTATAATTCACATAACATTTGAAATAATTTTGTTATATATTTAATTAAAGGTTTCTCTGGGTTATGGGTAGGAAATTGAATTGTTTAACAAAAGACTATATTGAAATCAAATAACTTTTACAAAGTTTTTTTTCTTAAATATATATATATATATATATAATTTCTTGTATTACTTAAACTTTATGAACAGAGGATTCTAGTTTGACAGCTGACATACTTTATATTGAATGTTTATTTTATTTTTTGTTAACTAAACATTTGACGTTTAAAACAAATTTTGTATAGACTTTTTGATCAAGATTATTTTCAATAGCTTTTTGTTCTCTGTAATATTTACAAGTACAGCTAAAAGGTCTGCACAACTTTTGAATGAAATAAAAATTACATTAACTATCAAAATAAAATATATTTTCTTAGATAATTTTGTATTGGAAAATAATAAATCTATGCGATTTGTGCAGAGTTCTAAACAAATAAATTTCACTTTCTATTGATGTCACTGGTTTATTTCATATTATCATCTAAAAATATTACACGTTATCCTCCGTTGATTGTTGATAATCCAGCCGCCTACTCTAAAATTATACAACAAACGTGCCTTTCATCTAAATTCACAGCTTATAACGGTATACCTACTAAAATAACAGTGGTTCAATCATCGACGGGTGACTTGATGAATCATTAAGAGCCCGTGAATCAAACCCATTGCTTACTTGAGTGGATAGCGACCAAAACCAATGTGTGGTCACTGCACATCTAAGCAGTCCCAAACAATTTAGTTTGTTAAACAAACGGGAAAATAATTTCACATTGAATCCTGTTTGATCTTTTTGACCAGTTTTGGTCTAAACGAGAGAAAATTATTCGACCGATATAATACCAGTCAAAAGCAACACATCGTTATGCCATTATGGTATCATTGAAAAAACGTAACAATTGTTACGTTTTTTTACTTGTTTTTAACACATGTTAACAAGCATTAAAAACAAGTAGATAAATATGTGAAACAAAAACAATTAAATAAAAAGATTCGGTAGAATAAAAATATACAAACCCAACCAGAAAATAAGAAATAAAAAGTTTGATTAAAAAAAAGTAACAAAATGCATTTATACATAATACTAACTTCCGTTCAACGGTTTGGTTTGACCCGGATAAGTTTTAATATGATTTTTTTATATTCTGGAATAAAAGTTTTCAAGTTATATGCAGTTTTTACATTTATTTAATTCTTAAAAAAATTATAGTTTTTTGGGCCTAAGAGAAAACTGCGAATGAAATTCTATCATTACAACGAAAAATTCATCGAGCGTTTTCAATAACGCTCAATGAGATTTCGCTTGAAGAAATTAAAATATAAAACTTATTATACCAAAATTAATAAATTATTCAATTGAAATCCGTTTCAATATACGAAAATTATTTTAACCAGTTTTTATTTTTTTCATTGGTAAACTAATTATTATAAATAAATTTGTCTTTAAAAATTTGTATGAACTGAAAAATTACTGCATTTTTCATATTCCTATGAAAATTAAACATTTAATCTAAAATCTTTTATTCATATATTACAATGGTATAATTTCTTGTTGAATAATATTGTTCAATATTTATAATTAAAAAAAATTGTAAAAACTCTTATTGCTATTTAAATAAATCAGCTATAATTTTAAAATTTAAACTGTGGTTTATTTCATCAATTTTAAATTTTCATTTTACTTAAATATATCAAACAAAAAAATATAATGAATTGAGACAAGTGGTTTATTAATAATTTTTAATTAGTAGGTTCAATTATTACAATAATTAAATATCTTGCTATCTCATAAAAAAAAAAAATTGATTAATTTAATTAACGAATAACTTTTGTTTTTACAAAATTTTTATTGCTTAAAATAATCAATTTTAATTCCAATGTTTCTTACAATGGAATTTTAACTATAAATTCTGCAATATAAAATATAGTAAATATATAAATAATATATGAAAAATAATATGATGTAAAATTATTTGCTGCTTGTGACACATTATCGTACAACAAACAATATTTGTCATACCGAAAATATTTCTAAGACCTTACCAAGTTACTTGTTCAAATTTTGTCTCATAAATGTTTTGATGATTTTTATGATATGATATTAAATTTTTCAATTAATCTTTTTTTTTTTCAAAATAGTTCCTTGGCATTTGGATACGGCCATGGAAAATATTACTTTTATTCATCTGTACATAAATTATTTAAATTTTTGTATCATTTTCCAAAAAAAAAAAAATATTTATACTTAACATAATGCACTAAAATATTTTTTTATCGAAATCGTTTATCTAAATATTAGCAATGTGCTTAAATGGTATACAGGGTGATTTTTTTATCATAACCCACTCAATTACTTGCAGAATAATAATAGTTTAAACATTTTTTATAAAATATATTTAAAATATGTGCTGTAAATTTAAATCACAAGCAAAAATTTTTTACACTTGGACAAAATTTAATATTTTCAGGCAGGTAGTCACTTATTTGCCTCATGGTACGGAATATCCTCGAATTTTATCTAAGTATAATAAAGTGTACAAATTATTGATACCTTGATTTTTATATAAGTACTAATGTTATTCAGATCAGACAGTTAGTGGTCGTCTTTTTAGATTGCTTGTAGTACCTTTTACAATTGAAGAAAAATTTAAATTTTAGCAAAAACATAAATAATATTATATATACAGGGTGATTTTTTTATCATAACCCACTCAATTACTTGCAGAATAATAATAATTTAAACATTTTTTTTTTTTATTATCTTTAGTTAAACATTATTCTTGAATTTTTAACTATGTAATACTTTTTAAGTTCATCCCTTTTGCCTTGGAAGGGGGTCAACTTTGTTTTTTTAAATGGTAACACATATTTTTAATTTAATAAAATGTTTGAGTTTTTAATTTAATAGTAAATGGCATTTGAATTTTTAATATAACTTAATTAGCTTATTAGATATAAACATTTAAAGTTTCAAAATTTTGAGTTAATATACATGTATAATACACATGGGATTGTAAATACAGGTAGCTAATTGGATTTTTATGACATTGCTGTCTCAGTCACGGATTGTTTATTATCAATTATGATTATCAATAGATATACTTTCTGTATTGTCAGTTAGTGTATTTATAAACTCATAACAATGTGCCTTACTACAATTGATAATAACAATGCTGTGTACCTGCTAATATCGATGTTATAAAAAATCAATTAGCTACCTGTATTTGTAATCCCTTGTGTATTATACATGTATATTAACTCGAAATTTTGAAAGTTTAAATGATTATATCTAATAAACGAATTAAGTTATATTAAAAATTCAAATGCCATTTACTATTAAATTAAAAACTCAAACATTTTATTAAATTAAAAATATGTGTTATCATTTAAAAAAACAATGTTGACCCCCCTCCAAGGCATAAGGGATGAACTTAAAAAGTATTACATAGTTAAAAATTCAAGAATAATGTGTAACTAAAGATAATAAAAAAAAAAAATGTTTAAATTATTATTATTCTGCAAGTAATTGAGTGGGTTATGATAAAAAAATCACCCTGTATAGAGTTCGATCGAGTGCATTTGATATTTAGACTAGACGTGTTGAGAACGATTGTTCAATAAAAACGGATCGTCAATTATTGAATTATAAAATTAATTTTGTAGTTTTAATGTAAAGCTACTCGTCCAAAAGAATGGCAGTAAATACTAATGAAAGGAAAATAAGAAAAATATGTTTTTTTACTGCCTTATTTCATAATTAATTGTACGTGTTTATCATTACGCCATTTCATCCTAATAGATTTGTTGGTTTTAAACATTCTGTTTTACAATAAAAAAAATTATCAATGTTTTTAAAATATTTATGCGAATTCTGGTCCATGACATTCTCTTGCATTAGATCGTATTAAATTGAAAAGGAATGCAATTAAAAACTGAATGAGCTTCGAGTAGTAGAACAGTGTGTTATATAGAATTTCATAATCCTATTAACAACCCATATCTATTTATATATATAAATAAATATCAATTAGAATGCTCGAGCCATGGGTGGTATCGGAGATTTAGCAGTATTAGTTTTCTTTAAATGGACTGAATATGCAAATCAACCGTTGCTCTCTACTAATGTTGTAGGTTTGTAGAAAATATCGTTTAGAATATTAATATACGAACCTTCATAATGTTTAAAACAACGATAACTTAAACGCGAGCGGAAAATATGTTCATTTAATATTAATATGATTTATGAAACGTACAACTAAATGTAATTGCAATTGTAAGACCGAAATAATTTTTAAAATACAAATAAATATCTAGTTAAAAAATTATAATTCTAAAATTCCGTACAAAATTTCACATTATAGAAATACATATTTTTTAACTTGTGTGCTGTAGATTTCTTTAAAGTGTACGATTTCTTAAAACATAAGAGTTGTTATAAATGAATCAAGAGTAGCACAAGAAGAGTTAATTTTATATAGTCTGATAGTTAAAAAAACAATTCTAAGCAGATAATTTTTTTGTTTTTGTTTTACGAAGTACCCAGTATTTGACTTCCAATTAAGTTTTTATATGTGTTTTATGCACTTAAATAAGTTGAAAAGGTTACCGT